TATATACAAATTTCCACCTTATTAACCATAGACTATAAAGACAAGTGTAGTTCCCTAAACAAATCAGTTTCAACATTCCCACCAATGGCCAACCAACACAAGCTCCCTCCTAAGTTAAACTTTGAAAATGACAACAAATGCAGTATATAAAAAAATGCTTGATGTATGAACTAATTCATGCTTGGAGACATCACATTTAGAATCTTTAATTCTTAGAATTACTAGATATGAAGCAGTCACTGCCATCACACACAAAATTCAAATAATCCAAGCAACTAACATCAACATTACACGAAAGTACAAAGATTAAATGTGGGATTCGAAATTTACCCCACTACGAAAATACACACAGACTACGGGAAGCAAGAACCAGATTTTTCAGACTCGAGTTCGACACGCTCGGTCTCGTTTTGGCCCCGCTGCTCGGGAGAGTCTGCCGCTACTCTCTTGTGTCTCGCCGGGAATGGCTCGACCCTGCCGCTCGAACACGAACGGGGCTGCCACTACTTGTCCGTTGCGTGCACGGTAGGCCTTGGACGGTTCGTCTCAGCTCGGTGCGAGACCACGGTTCGTGGCAACTAAACAGACGTGAAAGGGACCTCGCCTCGGCTCACGGTTACTGTACGGGGTGGCTCGAATGACGGCGGTTGGACAGAAAAGTTTCGCGGCGATGGCTGTTCGCGACTTGACGGGTGCTGGGATTGAAATTCTCGTCGTTGGGAGAGGCTGGGTCACACACAGTACACTGGCGAAGGGCTCGCGATGGCTTCTTCACGGCGTGGCGTCGTCGGCAGGTCTCGTCATCGGTTCATGCCGGCGATAAGGGCTTCGATTTGCGAACAGAGAAAAAGGGCGACGGAGGGTCGTTGCCGGCGACTGATGGGCGGACGTCAGCGGGCTGCTCGAGTGAACAGAGACACGCGACGGTGACTATTTCTCGACTGGGTTTCTCGGTGTTCGCGTTCGACTACTCACGACAACGGATGTGCGCCGGTAGGGAGGCTCGCTTCGTGGTTGACAGATATATTGGGGGTGCTCCACAACGACTCTCGCGAGTCCTCGTTGATGGCAGAGATTGGTACGCCGGCGGGAAAAGAGCTGCGATTTGATGATTGGGGGGGGGAGAGATCCATCGTGATCTGCTCAATTTGGCTGAGAGAGATTTGGGCGAGATATGAGATGGAGAAGGGTCTGCAACAGATAAGTGGGGAGAAGTCGAGAGAGAGGTAGGGTGATTTGTACGGGTAATAGGAAATTTCATGGGCCAAAATTCTGTAAGTTAGTTGGGCCGAAAAATTGACTAAATAAAAGGAAATTGGACTTGGGCCATTGGAAAATAAAAGAATTAGCTTGGACTAGTGTATTTAGGCAATTAACTTAAACACTTGCACATAAATAAGCATACAAATCACACTTAGACATAAAATAACACATAGGCATTATGCAAATTTCATATAAATTCAAAGCACTTAGAACGATTTAATAAAACGAGAGCACACCAAATAATTTAAGAAGACGAGGACACCTTAAATTTAAATTTTCGATTAGGTGAATTAATTATGAACATCAAATAGACGAGACATCTATTTAATTCTGATAAACTTAATAGGGAAAATTGTCGAGCACTACGATTAAAAATAAAAGCGAGGCGAATAATTAATTATTATAAAATATGCTAACTCATCTAAAATGAATGGGGCATTACATTTAGGCAACTTACCGAAATGTAATAAGCATATCGAATTTGTGATAGATGATCGAAATGTAACGTCACTGGATTTTCGGGCAAGGTGGCAGAGTTGAGAGGCATACACATCCATGAGGATTGGTAAAACTTGTTAATTTTGACTAAAAGATAGTATTAATTTTGTGTTTTTATGATGTGTTTATGATGTGTCGCGTTTTTAAAGTTCTATTGCATTAATATTCATTGTTAGAACCAACTAAACTTTACAGTGAATAATAAGATGGTTTTACTTACTCGATAATTTTTTTCTTTTATACATTTAAACTCACAATCCGACATTGACTTTATTTAACTTAACTCGTTTTAATATTATCAATACAATTAAATATTATTAATCAATCGTTTTTACGCATCATATTAATTTTAATTCGTTCTTCATCTATTTACATATTTTTAATTACTCATCACTTCATCTTTTCTTTTTACATCACATCAACTTTAATCATCACATTTTAAATATAAGCAAATTTCACGTGTGATGCACGTGATACATGATTTTTAAGCCCTTCTCGTTTAGCGATCAGGAGTTTCGAATTATCGGGCGACAGACAATTTTGTTTATGAGAAATGAGTTGAGCTTTCTTGAGGTGAATTATGCAAGCAAAGCAAAGGATTTTCGAGATAAAGCGATACGATATCGAACCGAGATAAAGCGATATCGAACGCTCATTAGACAATACCGAACCGAGCTAACAAGTATAAAATTGATTTTGCTTGATTTTGGCTTTTCTGTTCTGTTTTGGTTTGCAGTAGAATCTTAATGGGTTTGGTGGTTAGGTTTGTATATAGTTTTGGGTTGGTTAGCTGAGTTCTCTTCTTGCTACTATACGGGTCGTCATACCTGGGGATTCCGAGCTTGTTCTAGAATACTTGGGGACCTATGACACTAGGAAGGGCGATGGTAACCCTGGCTGGGTACCTGCCCCACTCCCAGACCGAGGGGACTTCTTAGTGCACAATGCCGTGGATCCAAATGTTTGGGAAACAGCAGTCCCTCTCTCGTTCCCTTGGTCTCAGGTTCGCACATACAAGAGTATCCCACATACTTTATTCAGATATCTCGCTGTTGCTATCCGAATCTGGAGTACAAGTACCAACCACCAAAAAGGTACGCTTCACTCCGTGATGTTTAATTTTAGATGTATGGTTATTTTAAGCATGCCAACAATAGATGTTACGGGTTTCGAGTATCTCATCCTCATTGCACGAGCGACGCTTCAAGTGGGAGGTTCGTTACAGCATTACAATATCTTTCATTTAATCCCAAGAACTATCAATGGCAGACTAACCAAATTCTTTTTTTTTTAAGTCATTTGGACTTCCATTTATTCCTGGACAACAGTAGCCGTGGCATTTATTAGTGGTCAACAGCCATCAAAACTTGAATCTCGCATCTTCAGTTAAGATTTACGAATCCCTCAATGGCATTTTCTGTTTGGATGAAGTGAGAGTGCGTCTGAACGTTCAAGGAAACGTCCAACGCACCAATGACCTTTTTTTTTTTTATGGAGATCACTTCCCGCACCCCACTAATATTCAATTGTCTCTATACATTAAGGTAGTTTTTTATAATTTCCCTCTATAGATATCAAGTTTTTTGTTTTTTTTTTTCTTTTTTTGTAATTCCATCAGGTGGAGTCTATTGCAAATGAAAAGAGAAGACCACACTATTCTTTGTTGTTGTCTGAAATCACCTTCCATGGCTTGTTTACTGAATAGCAAGGCTGATCCCCAATTGTATCTTTGTGTTCGACAAACTAAACATCACTTTTGTCCAACACAAAGATAAAACTGGGGATCAGCCTTGTTATTCAGTAAACAAGCCATATGAGGTGATTTCAGACAACAACAAAGAGTAGTGTAGTCTTCTCTTTTCCCTGATGGGAAAAAAAAAAACCAAAAACCTTGATCAGAGCAAGAGCAAGATGCTCAAGATGGAGGAAGAACAGGTAAATGTATATCTATAGAGGGAAATTATGAAAAACTACCTTAATGTACCTTAATGTATATCTATAGAGGCAACTGAATATTAGTGGGGTGCGGAAAGAAATCTCCATAAAAAAGAAGGTCATTGGTGCGCTGGACGTTTCCTTGAACATCCAGACGCACCCTCACTTCATCCAAACAGAAAGTGCCATTTAGAGCCTCGTAACCTTAACTGAAGAGGCGAGATTCAAATTTTGAGGGGCCATTAATAAGTGCCACGGATTGCTGAGGGAATAAACGACAGTCCAATGGCTTTCAAAAAAAAAAAAATGAGGGTAGCCTGCCATTGATATTCTTGGGATTAAATGAAATGTAATGTAATGCTATAACGAACCTCCCACTTGAAGCGTTGCTCGCAATGAGGCTGAGACACTCGACAAACCCGTAACCTCTATGTAGGCATGCTTGAAATAACTATACATCTGAAATTCCACATCACAAAGTGAAGCATACATTCCTGTTGGCTGGTACTTGTACTTCAGATTCAAATATCAACAACGAAGATATTGAGTAAAGTAGCTGGGATAATCCTCTTGCAGGTGCGAACTTGAGACCAAGGGAACCAGAGAGACTGTTGCTCCCCGAATATTTGGATCAACCGCATTGTGTACTAGGAAGTCCCTTCGGTCTGGGAGTGGGACACGTATCCAGCTAGGGTTAGCATCGCCCTCTCTGGTGTCGAAGGTCCCTAAGTATTCTAGAACAAGCTCGGAATCCCTGGGTATGACTACCTGTATAGTAGCAAGAAGAGAACTCAGCTAAACCAAACCCATTAAGATTCTGCTGCAAACCAAAAAACTTGCTGTCAATCAATCTCCTAATCCTTCAAATTCAAAAATAGACAAAGGATTATCTACTTCACATGAACTGATTATATGAAAAAACCCGTACAGAAAGAAGTTTTCGGAATTATAACCAAGTAAAAATTACCAATCATCAAGTATCCAACGGAAACTAATAAATATACTCAAAGAAAATTCTTGAAGTTCCTGGGGTTTATGTGGAACCTTCTTTCATGGGTTATGGAAGTTGCTGCTATTATGGCGATTGCCCTTGCAAACAGAGGAGTAAGTGCATAATTCAATAAATTAATTTCAATTTTGTTATGGGAGTTCATTATCCAAAAAAAAAAAAAATTAACAGTTCTTGATTTAAATGTTTTGCAGGGAAAGCCTCCAGATTGGCAAGACTTTGTGGGCTATGACCTTGCTTTTTATAAACTCGACGATTAGTTTTATAGAAGAGAATAATGCCAGCAATGCAGCGGCTGGTCTCATGGTCCGTCTAGCTCCAAAAGCCAAGGCTTGAGTCATCTCATAGAAAAATAAAAAACTTCAAAGTATTATGAGGTTTAATCAAATTGCAAGAGAACCCAAATTTTATTTCAAAATTATACAATACCTGCTGGAATCTACTTTTGCCTACTTGGGAAGTGATAATCAAGGCTCTAGAAGGATTAATTTAAAGACATCTTTTTTAACTAAACAAAATTTTAGCGGTATTATATGTTATAAACCCTTTTATCTTCTGTAAGGAACTTATGAAAAACATGGAGGGGTTATAACTTATAATGATTTATGGTCTTGTTAATATGAATTAGAGATGGAAGGTGGAGTGAAGAAGAGGCTTCTATTTTGGTGCCTAGGGACATAATTAGCATTAAGCTTGGCGATATACTTCTTGTCGATGCTCATCTTCTCGAAGGCAACCCACTGAAAATCGATCAGGTGCATTAAGCTTGGCGATATACTTTTTAGGTGTTTTTGTGTTCATATCTAAATTTTACATCAATAGATATATACAAATTATATATTTTTTGTTCCACCATTACTTCCGCCATTTTTCGCTACGCCATCCGCCATAGAAATATGGCGGTTTTTTGGCTTTCCGCCATGGACCGCCATTCGCCATCGATAACACTGGCAGGAGGAAAACATTCGAGGAAATGAGGGGTAGGGTTCTTTCGAGGTTTTTTAAGAGGAGGATCGTTTTTTGGGCCTGTTAAAATAGATGGGTTTGATAGGTTTGGGATGTTTGAGCTGGATAGCGGTCAGCCCGACCAGGCCCAGCCCGGCCCGGCCCATCTAGTAAATTATGAAGGAATAATATTAAGAATTGATCGAGAGAGAATGATCCGAATAATTAAAATTTGAGGAAATTGCACCCCTTACGTTAGGATCTTAAATATATTATAATTATACATTCATTATATAAATATTTATATAATTACCAAACTAAGCTAAAATTATTGCTAATATATCTAAAGTGTAACCGTTTAAATTAACGCGTTATCCCCTAAAAATGCGTCATACCCCCTTGTATTATACGAGTTTAGGGGATAACGCGCAATCAAAAGTATAATACAAGGGGGTATGA